ATATATATATATATATATATATATATATATATATATAATCTAAATGATCCCAAAAGGCAGTGTATTTCGATTCTGTAAATATCCAGTCTTGCTACGTTACGTTAAAACCTTCACGTTTTAGAGGAACAATAAAGCTACGTTACTTCTGTAGTCGTTGATTGATTATATTGCAAATATCGGTATATGTGTCCTTTATAAATTTCTACTTCGTAAATCGATAAATATGTATAAATTTTACCTTAGTAATAGGTCGGTTTGTTCAGTCAGTTCTTAACGATGTTCATTACTGGATGATACGCAGATTAATTTTAAGAAAATCGACTTAAGAGTTATTCAACTTAATTTATCCCATAAATTGATAACTAGCTGATACTGGCTGTGGTGCTCTGGGTTGCGTATGAGATATACGTTGGATGTGGCACGCACGACACATAAGTCTACCATCGAGTGGGTAGCATCGTTTGTCCGGTTCGTCGGTCAATTGCATACCGCAATCCTCGCAAACGTAGCAATCTACGTGAAAATCTTTGTCCATAGAAACAACTCTCACAGTTTCCTCTGTGCCCTGAAAAGTGAATTATTATCAAAGTTACGTCAGCTTTCTTTATCAGAATGACGCTGTCTAAAAATATAATTACTTACCTCAACTGGAGTGATTCCCTTTCCACAGGAAGCACATTTTGGCGCGAACATTCTGTGATAATCGTTAACACAGTAAATTTTATTGTCAACGTCAACCGTGAAGGGAACACCGTCAAGACATTCGTTGCAGACGCAACATCTAAAGCACCCTGGATGGTAGGATTTCCCCATGGCTTGTAATATCTATAGGTAAGAAAATGTAGAATAAATTGAAATCGTGCCATAGATCGTCCTAACATTATCGACTTAATTACCATTTCCATGATGAGATGGCCACAAATTGCGCACTTCTCGGCAGTTTGTTGGAAGCCAGAGTACTGCGGACAAAACAACATTCTATGAGCTACGTCATCGTACCACGCGTCCATTGCAATTACTGTCTTACATACCAAATAATCTTCCTCGCAGTATACCCTGCCGTGAACATTATAGAACGCTTTGCCGCGCAACGCTCTTCCACAAGAACAGCATATGAAACAATTCGTGTGATAAAGATTGCCCATGGCTTGGCAGGCCTGACCTGCCCCTGTTACTTTTTCACCACATGTGTGACAGATACCTGTCGACAAGCGTCAATGTATCCTTTATAATGTTATTATAACAAAATCGTGTAAATACAGTTTTCTCTCGTAACTACATTTGAAACTATTTTTAGGACTATGAAAATACCCAACCAAAATTCTATAGTTCGACGTAGCAATGGACAACGTTTAAAAACACGATATTCGACAATAAGATCTGTTTCTTCGGGATCGATAACTGTCAGAAACACCGACTGAAAGCAAAGGAACGATACAGAGGAACTATTCGAAAGAAACTCACAACTATTAATAGGTAACACGGGTCCTGCCATTCCCTTCGCAGGAATCCTTTATCCCTCATTTGCTGTTCGTGACACTTGTAGTTTCGATTCACCGGTTCGGTTTCACTAGGCCAGTCTCGCTCGAACTAGAATCCGCCAACGAGTCGGACTAGTCTATCTATAACGAGATTACTTACCGCGGCGAGCGCGACCTGGCCACGGCAGTTTGCCGTGTACAGGACGTTACACGAAGAATAGAACTCGTACAGAAAAACAAAGAGGAATAAACTAAGCTCACCTAAACGCCAGCCTACCTCTCGACATTGGCTCGCTCGACTGAAGTTCCTATCCGCTCGTGTGATTCTTTCCGTTCCTCGTTGCCTACGTCTTAAACTAGTGTTCAAATAGAATTCAACACAACTATCGTAAGAATTATTCGAAAAATACTGGTTCTAAAAAGAAAAAAAATGCGCAACCAATATAGATACGGTCGGGAGGAATTTGCATCGAATGCGTGTTTATCTGAATTGATAAGTATATTTCACAGTTGTGCAACCGCCACCGATAGGTCATTTACAAAACCATTAGAACGACTAGAATTGAATTTCCATTTAAATGTCTTAGAAATTTCGAACTTTGAGCTCGGATAAAATGATGCTACGGATCTCTTGTTCGATTGTACTTCATCGATATTTTTGGATGGCTATTCTTCTTCGAAGCCTCTGCCCTTGTGTCTGTGAAGTGATTTCCACCGAAATAGCGAGTGCTTGATTGATAAAACACAATGGACATCGAAGAAAGATGGCCCGATATGAACATCACCTTTACGGTGTTGAGATACACACGTATAATGCAAAGGAGAGATAGCGCGTGTATGCGTTCACCTCTAACAAACGCATGTAGCTCGCACACTTGTAACGCTTCACGTAGGTGCGAAACACGTAGGTGGAAACGAATGGGCAGAGAGTGAATGTCAACGAAACGTCGGGTTAAAAAGTTTCGCGACATACTGAAACTTGACTCCATTTTCCGAAACCGGTCTACCAAGCGAGTACTTGTGCCGTGGGAATTGGCACGGTAGCCAGCTGCTTTTTATTCTTTACCCGAAATCGGTAGAAATTATAGGGACGTGTGTGGATAATTAACTCACCTAATGACGGAATCATGCGAAACTATCGCATCTCAATCTACTGAAAGATATTACGCAAATGTTATCACGGCGTGGTAATTGAATGGCCATCTAAACGTCGTACAATTATTGTTATTGCAAATTTACAAAGATTGAGAAACACATGTGTGTCTTCGTGAATGCTTGTGATTGTTTTACGATCGTTGTTTCTTACCGAAGTATTCCCCTTCCTCTTCTTGTTTCTCCATCTCCTCTTCGAGTTGTCTCGTCAGTTCTTCTATCTTTCTCTCAGCTTCGGTGGGCCCCTGTAAGAAATAAATCAGATCGCACGTTGTGATCGGTATAACTAACAAATAATGCTGTAGAACGGGATGGGATTTCGACAGTATAACAATGATTTTGACGGGAAGGAGAAAAGTTCAACATACAGAAGAAGATACATACCATGACACTTACACGATCTATGAATAAAATATTGCGCGTCAGAAACTGACAACTTACAACGTGTGATTCAGCACGAGTCACGAGTTCGAAGAAATAATTCGTCACAGATGGTAAAATATTACATGCAACAAGTATTTGTTTCTACGCGATGCCAAAACGTTGTTAAAGTTAGTGTTATATATTTCGATATTCTTTATAGTAAATGGTAGGAAATATTTATCAGACTGGTCAAAGCAGTATTTTCATATGTTGATGTTATCGTTACATAGGTCAGTCATTATATAAAATATCGGCGATAGCGGCTGACATTTGTGACATCATCGCTTAAATATGAAAAGCTACAGCATCAGCTTACTTCTCGAATAAGCATTATGTATATTGTAGAAATCGTAACCAAAAGACTTGTAATTTTTTTATTAATTTATTTTTATTTTTACTAACTTTATAATTTATTTACTTTTCATCGTGAATTTTAATGACCAGTCGTTAAACTTTTCATAATCACCATTCATATGGTCAGCGTGCTTGGCATTCAACCAAAATAAATCGAAAGCAACGATGTGTGTTCCCGTAACCCAATTAACGTAAAGATTACAGTGCCAGGTTGTGAATGGGTTTCACAAGAGAAACAAATTTATTAAACTATAGTTGGAAAAATAGCTAATTTCTTACGGAAGGTCTAGGTGGTATAACATTGTAGGGTAGTAGCCCCTTGCCGGATGTCGGTTTCATTGGTGGACTAACTGACTTCCTCTCCTCGGGTTCAGGTTCGGATGGCCTTTGTAATACAGGTACACCGGCATTTAAAAAGACCGGACCAGCTACACCACTAGTCACTCCTGGAGGAAGGCTGGTGATTCTGGGCCCGTGAACGTTTGCATCAGTTTCTGTGGCAATTGGTGTCGTAGTAGTCACTGGTGTTTGTATCTGACCACGTAAAGGGCTTCCGATGGTATTATTTGCGGAAGATGGTGACACATGTCTTGGCGAATTAATTACGTTTTGTGCAATTGTGTCGGACGATACTTGATTATGGGTTGGGCTTACTTTCGGAGTACCTCTTACGCTATTGTTATTGGCTATGATTCTGGAAGAATCGCTACGGCTAGATGAATATATAGGCGATGGTTTTGATGTATCAGGGGGATCAGATGCATCTTGAATGAAATTTCTGTCATTCTGTAAATTACTTAATCTTAAATGTTCTGATGATCTATTTGAGGAATATATCGGAGAATTTCTAGTAGGAAATTCTGGTCTAGGTTCTTGATGATGATAATTTCTCTCATTTGGTGGTAATACTCTACTTGGAGAGTAACAGGGAGAATTACGGCATGCAGACTGATCTCCTTGCCTCACACCATAGACTGGTGAGTTTCTAGCCTGAGTTTCTCCAGTAATATTTGCATTTGTACTTCTTGCCGGTGATTCTATGTAAGGTTTATAATTTTGGGGACTATCTTGACGGTACTGAGACTGTTGTATATTTTCTATATGATTCGATGCTCTAAATCCATGCTGCCCACTCATTGAACTATCCAAAGATCCACGATAATGATGTGGCTCTGGTGGTAAGCGTATTGGTGGAGACTCACTGTGATAAGGAAGTCCAGATCTAGGAGAATGTTGTTGCTGTTGTTCAGAATTATAATTAAAGTTTCTTGTTGGTGTTTGTAGCTCAGACGGCGGAACATAAGCACTTCTACCAGCTTGATGATCTAAAGATGAGGAAGATCCTTGTAAATACCTTGATGTAGAATCTACACAGCGTTGTAAACTAGAGCTGTCATAGCTTTGGCCACGTATGTTACTTCCCCTTTGTTGTGTATATGATAAACTTTGCGTCACACCTCTTTGACTTTGTGATTGACCTACTTTGCCAGTCATGACAACATAATCACCACCATTAATTGTTGCTGGATGGTAATAATTTGGTGGAACCTGAGGACCTGGTTTATTTTGTGTATTTTCTGGGAAATGTACTTCTTGAATATTTTCATATACAGGAGGTGCCTCATACGGAGGTAATTCTTTTGCTGGTGACGCAGACTGATATCGATTTCCAGTAGGTACCTGTGGCTGTGCTTTTCTAAAAGTAGGTTCATAAGATTCGCTTGCTAAAGATCCCCTAGGACTACTCTTAGGACTCTTTCTGGATTCCACTGGATGATAATATGGAGGATGAGGTTGAGTTTGTTGCGGATAATAGTCAATGTTTTCATATACTGGTGCTTGTTGATGACTCATACGATTTTGATTTTGTTGTTGTTGAGCACTGATCTGCTCCACAGGTTTTGGTGTGGGAAATCTTGATGCAGCTATTATGTTTTCACGTTCATACAACTTATAATCAGCTGCCGACTGTCTACAAGTCTCAGCATTGCTTTCAATGAAACTTTCAATAGCACCAACTGGTCTACCAGGCCCTCTGATATCTGTTCTGCTTACGGTATTCCTTGACACGGGCACCTGGGCCTCAGGTCGTGATCCCGTGACCCTACCGGTACCCGAAGCACCACCGGCGTCAGTGGGTTCATCCCCAAGTTGCAGATAACCTAACTTTTGTACGTAAGAATCGTTAGCCGGGTTACACATTGGCAGTGATTCAAAGTAAGGCGTCCGACGATAACAAAAAAGGTTTGACAGTTGTGCGAAGGTTATTTGTTTGACAATAAAATTTTTAAAATTTCAAAAATTTCATTACAAAGCGATTCGACGTCGTTCGGAAAACTGAATCAGCTCGGTATTCGTCATGTCAAAGCGACATCCTTCGACTCGTTGATATCCAACCTTTTCGATTTGTTCTCACTCGACTTTTTTTTGCAGGATCACGATTTTCTCACGGGGCACGATAAAACTCAACGCACGTATCGCGACGAAGTTTACTGAACGAAAGCAGGGCCGTTTTTCCCCCACGATTTTGGGATACGCCCCACGATCACGGCGCCTCGAACTCGCGTCTCCTTGTTTCGACTAGCGTCCGTCCACCGGCAAATCTCGGATATTCGTTCTGCACGAAAAATCACCACCTGCGAAAATTCACACGATACGCACACACATACACCTCGCACGCATCGTGGTTCGTCAAACCAGATACCTGCGAGACATTTTCCCCTGTTACGACTTATCTAGATGTAGCCTGTATTGCTGTCTTTGGCCACAATGTGGCGCCACGATTACTATACCGTCGGTAATGCTTACGAAAAGTAAGGTTCCTACATTTCAAGCAATTGTTCATTTTTGATCGCACGTCGCGTCAGTACGCGACACACTCGCCGAAATGAATAAAAATAGAAAATAGTATATATTTTTACTGTGAGGTACATTCTTTTTAATATATTATCTTTTATAAAAGATTACAATTATTAAATATATATCAACATATACATTTAATTTTTTTTACATACATACATTGAAACTATCGTAAAGAATATAACTTTTATTAACATATTTTATAAAAATAAAAAAGATTAAAAAAAAAAGTTTATTTCTTTGTTTCAAATTAGATTTCAAATGTACATATTTTCAAGTAAAATGCACATTTAATGTTAGGTTAAGTAAAGACTATAGCGCCATGAAACGGCAAACTATGCAATACACTTGCGATTCTCGAACGTAGTCGATATTTCTCGCGATCGATCTATAATATTCAGTTGTAACACGGAACCGTTAGTTTTACGTGGAAAGTGTAGTAAAAAGAAGTATTATCGAGAAATTATCAGGTAAAAATTACAACAGCTTCTAGATTTGTGTTTGCATTCAATATGTTGCAACAATAAACATTATTTAAAAGAA